TCTGCGCCTGCAAGTGGGTGCCCGAGGGAGCCCTAGTCGGGCGTGGCCTAGTTCTCTCTAGCTGCCTCAGGCCCTAGAGCACGTTAGGAGTAACAGCCTCCAGCCATAGCTGTGGGCACAAGTCACACTTGGCCGTGTGTCCTCTTCTGATCATTGATGCCAGAAGTACTTAGGAAGGGAGGGAAGGAGCCTGTGTGAGTTAAGTTGTCCGAAGAGTTGGAATTTTCCTCTCTTGTTTGGTGAAGATAATCGCTCACCCTGTTTACAGAGGTGTGTGCTAACTTAGTGATCCCAGGGAGATCCAGGAACACTGGCTTATGTCGGGAATGTTCGTATGCAAGCTCGTGTGAACCCTGCTGCCGGCATCTCCGAAAAAATGCGTCTTCCCTGCTTACTTTTCTGCCCGGGGACCAAAAGCCACGAATGCATTTGTGCGTGCAACAGACGTCCAGGCCATGGTGTGACCTAGTGCACGTAGCTAACGATGGCCTGCGAGGCCCTGGAGAAGAAAACCTGGCTCCCTGTCTCCGTCGAGGTGCTCACAGCCCCAGGGTGAGAGTGGAGACCAGTGAACAGTACAGTCATCAGAGAGAGTGACCAGCCCTGTGCTAGGGGCTACCTGGAGCCGCGGGCCTGTGTGACAGCAGGGCAGCTGTGCAGAAGATGGGGCGGCAGGGAGCAGAACACTGGGACCCGAGGACACAAGGAGCCCAGTGACGTCACGGGCTCGTCAGGAACAGATGGCATCTGGAAATAGAGCCGCCGCCTCTCAGCGATGCAGCCTGTGCTTAGACACAGGGCTGGCCATCTCCACACCATGATCAGAAGTGGAGACTTGAGGGCTTCCCTGGTGGCACAGTGGTTGAGAGTCCGGCTGCTGATGCAGGGGACACGGGTTCGTGCCCCGGTCCGGGAAGATCCCACATGCCACGGAGCGGCTGCGCCCATGAGCCATGGCCGCTGAGCCTGCGTGTCTGGAGCCTGTGCTCCACAACGGGAGAGGCCACAACAGCGAGAGGCCCGCGTACCAAAAAAAAAAAAAAAAAGAAGAAGTGGAGATTTGAATCAGAGCAGTGTTGATGGGATTTCAAGAGCATTTGATACATAACTTGTAACTGTTTTTTTTTTATTCGATTTTTTTGGGGCTGTTAACAGTGGTTTGTGCCCTCTCACAGGGTGTTTGCACTACCGGGCAGTGTTGAATGTGGCCTTTCCTTAGCTCTTCCCCCTTCAGATTAGCTGTGTCTCCCTCTGCAGTCCTGTCGCGGAGCTTTCCACTCCCCGTGTCCTTCGCAGCGTCCAGTGGGCCTGCTGGGCTCCAGCCCCCGGAGGGGGCTGCACGTCTGTGGAATCCTCAGCCGCTGAGAACCCCCCGGCCTGTCCTCCCTGCCCTGGGAGCTACTCTCTCCTTGGTAACAGGTCCTGAGCATGTTCCACAGGGGAACGAGCACCCGAACCCGTATATATCGCGGCTGCCTTTGCAGTTCTCCTTGGCGCTGCTGACTCCCCGCTCCTGGGTCCACCCAGGAGTGCGTGCAGGGAGATACCTAGTTGCTTGCTTGCCTATGCAGAGTCCTTAACTCATTGTATTTTCTTGGTCTTTACCTCTGGGTCTTGCTATCACCATTGACTATCCGTGAAGATACAATAGAAGGGGATATACATGCATACACGCAGATACCACACAGACACACGTGCGACACACGTGATACATAAACACACATTATCCATATTATGTACAAACTAGGCACTTGGAACCTATTAGAAATACAGATTGGAATATGACCCCAGTAGAACCCCAAATTCCCCCCTTTAGTCCTTTTTTCTTTGTGAGCTGGATTTCCTGAGTTCTTAGCAGCTGGGACAGTAAGAACTAGTTAGTGCTTTTATGGCTTTCACTTTGCAAGTTCGGGAGGAAGCCAAGAAAAAATCAGGGGTGGAGGACAAACTTGGCCCAGAAATTGCCATGCTAATGGAGCTCTGAAGTTAAATGTGGGGTGGGCCACAGGGAACTAACTGTGCTCCTCGAATGAGAAGTGACCAGGCATCCCTCACTTAGAGAGTGCCCTCGGGTCCTGCGAAGGCTGCTGCGCTAGTAAGGCAGGAAGGAGCCTGGGCACCGGCTGACGACAGAAGGTCTTTTGCTCTGAGTCACTGTCCCCCTCTCAGTGGGGCTTTGCTCCTACTGGTGTGACCTCTACCTTCTCTGGGTAGATCTTAGCATGTCCTGTCTAAGGCACTTTGCAAATGGAGCTCCTTTTATTTTTATTTTTTTAATTTACTTTTGGCTGCATCGTGTCTTCGTTGCTGCACGCGGCCTGTCTCTAGTTGTGGCGAGGCAGGGCGGGGGCTGCTCTTGGTTGTGGTGCGTGGGCGTCTCATTTTGGTGGCTTCTCTTGTTGTGGAGCACGGGCTCTAGGCGCGCGGGCTTCAGTAGTTGTGGCACAGGGGCTTAGCTGCTCCGCGGCATGTGGGATCTAACCGGACCAGGGCTTGAACCCGTGTCCCCTGCATTGGCAGGCGGATTCTTAACCACTGCGCCACCAGGGAAGTCCCTAGAGCTCCTTTTAAATTAACATATTAAAGATGAACCCAGTTGGCCAAAGACGCTTAAGATTTTAGCAATAAATTGTAGCTGATTTAATTCTCCGTTTTAATGAGGTGGTGGTGATTTATTAAATAATAGGTACCAGGTGCTTTCGTGTGGGTCTGTGGATGCCAGAGTTCAAGAGCTTTATAGTAAGAAAAAAACGTTCAAGTGTTCCTCAACTCTTTGAAGTGAAAGATTGGGGAGGCGTTCATGAATTGTCATGAATTAGGTTTTACTGTCTTAAGAGGCATTATGGCTTCAATGGAAAGGAGGCACGAGGTTTGCTTTTCCACGGCAGGCCAGATAAAGTAGTGTGTGACGGGGCATCTGAGCTGTGAGTCACACTCCCACTCTTGTCCATTTGATGACGTCTAAGTACCATTCTGTCTTGTAACCAGACAGCTGCTGCGTGTTGTTCTCTAAACCATCCATTACATTGTTTGGGTTATTTTGATAACTTCTAGTGTAATGTTCTCAACGAAAACGATCAATAAACAAATCTACAACAGGAATAGAAAAGAGTTTTATCTGAGCCAAACGGAGGACTACAGCCCAGAGAAGCCTGCTTCCCAGATTAGTCTCAGGAACTGCTCCCAAGAAGCATGGCATCCGGCACAGCTTTATGTCTTGTCAAAACAAAGAACGTTAAACAAGTCAGGAATACATTGCTTCAAAGTTTCAAAACAGACCAGCACGTACACAGCGAGTCAGTGTGGCCTTGGCACCTGGGAAAGGGAGTCTTAGCATTGAAGGAGCGCCAGCATGGGCGTGCCAGGAACAGAAGCATTTAATCTTTTTTTAACATGGACATTCTTTACTTGTGGTCAGTGCGCCCTTTTCTTTAATAATTAATGCAAATGTACAGTGTATGTTGCTAGGCCACAAACAGGCTGTTTAAGTTAGCATAAAATTCAAGTTAACTCATGTATAAGCCAGAATGACTTCCCCAGACCTCACTAAGTTAGCGTTTCTTTTATCAATGTGTGCCTAATACAGATTAAAAAAATAAAAATAAACAACACCTAACTTCCCCGAGCTGGGTTAATATTGTCTTAATTTGGAAGCAGAGAACAAACCCTGCCCCCTTTTAGGGTCCCAGCAGGTCTGGCTCTCTTCTGTCCTCTTCCAGATGCTGAGCCTTTCCAGCTGCTGTCTCTGGGCTGGAGGTAGTGCCAGTGGGGAGTGTGGCCCCAGCTGGCTGATGGGGGAAGGGAGGGGAGTTGGGGGTGGTCCATGGACTACTCTCGACCAGCCATTGAACCTGGAAGGGACCTTTCTCCTGAGGACATAGCAAGAGAGACATGCAACGAGCAGTTGACTCTCAATGCAGCTGCCTGGATGGGGTTGGGACATCTGTAATGCCCAGGCCTGGTATCGTGTCCCGGGAGGGAGGACACACCTCCAGGGCCCCAAGGGGTTGCCAGGGTGTGTGGGGAGGAGGTCTTCTATCCCACTTGTTACGCAGTAGGTTACATCTCTTATTGGCACTTGTGCTCTACCTACTGGGTCTCTGATTGCTGCCCTTCTTAGAGTCTCCTTTAACAGCTCTGAGGGTGTCTTAATAGAGAACAGCTCTTCCTGTGAATGGAAGGGTCGGTCAGAGGCTCATTTTATTATTCAGTCAGGTCGGAAGAAAGTGTGTCAGCGAAAGCAGCGAAGGCATGGCTGGCTGACTTGTTAACAGTTTGATGGTTATTAATAACGCCCACGAGCTTTAGCTTCGGCACAGCTATACGTGCATGTAAAGCATGCCTGCATGTGTTTTGCAGGGGTGTGTGTGTGTGTGTGTGTGTGTGTGTGTGTGTGTGTGTGTGCGTGCGCGTGCAAGTACGTTTCAGGGAAAGATGGATACGGATGTGGAAATGGATGAGTATGGAAAGATCAGTGTCGCACTGCAGCTTCCAAAACGGTCTTTGTTTTTCTTATATTTAATAATAGACTACTGATTTTAAAGTTTTTTATCAATTTACTTGCTGCCCGTCTTAGAAAGTTCTGGCCCCTTGTATATGGCAATTTCCCGAAATAAGCCACATGAAAATATTGTTGCAACATGAAGTAAATATTTCTGAATATCACAGTTTGAGGATTTCTACACACATGGTTTTTTTTTAATGTTTGTGTGAACTACATTTTGCCCCCAAATTGCAGTCTGTGTGTACACGTGTGTGTGTGTGTGTCTGTAATGTGTGTACCTCCTGTCCTGTGGTATGACATGCCAGCATACTGGCGAATGTCCAGTGTGTGTTTGCCGTTGATGCCTTGTGTCAGGAATTGCAGCGGGGACAGGCGCAGGCAAACATGTGGATTGAATTCCTTACTGAAGGAGGTTATGGAGACCTGGGTGTAGTCCTGTTTGGGGAGAAGATGTTAATTGGAACCGTTGGCTCATTTTTCTTTCTTTCTCCCCTAGACAAGCAGATGCCCCGTGTGCAGAGGACAGTCCAGGAGCGCAGCGGGACCCCCAGGTCTCTGAACCAGCTGGCTCCCGGGAAGCTCCCGAGTTGCCCCTGGAGGGCCGTGGCCGGGCGGGGACCCTTCCTTGCGATTACAGATACCCGGAGGAGCGCGCGCCTGCGGACCGGGCTGCCGCCCCGCACGCCCGGGGGCAGGACCCCCGGCCCCTGAGCGCCGCCCCGCTCTCCCGGAGGCCTGCCCCGCAGCGGCCGCCGCCGCCCAGGCGTGAGCCCAGGCCCTTGGCGGGCGCACCTGCGGCTGCTCTCCTGGGCGCGCCCGGCAGGCCCCGCCCCCTGGCCCCGGAGGTGTGCTCGTGCTCGGACCGCCCGGCCCTCGCCCGCAGCAGCCCCGGCGCCTCGGCGGAGAAGCTGAGCGCCGCCCGGCCCGCGGCAGATGGCCCGCGGGCTGCGGGGGAGCCGGCCGGCCAGCATGTAGACGAGCGCGCAGCCTGGCCCCGGCGGGAGGCGCCGCTCCTTTCCAAGTTCCGGCCCCTACAGACCTCCGCCATGGAGACCTCGCGCTCCCCGTCGCCTCAGTTCGCGCCCCAGAAGCTGACGGACAAACCCCCGCTGCTCGTCCAGGATGATAATTCCACCAGGTACTGTCTCTGGACGGCGGCCTGAGGCCTTCTTTCCCTCTCCCGGCCCCCTCCCACCGTGGGAGGCTTTCAGTGCTCCTTTCCTGGGTGGTGAACCACTGCGGCCTTGCTCCCGGCTCCCCGTCCTGGAGTTTAAGTGGGTCCTGGGGACTGACATGGGGGAGAACCCACCACTCGAGTGGTCAGCTGGATTGTTAACTTGCTGGGGGTTTTCCTGCCCCACAGGGGGTGGGGGGGGGTTAAAGGAGGGAGTAGACCGTCCCCTGGTCCTGTTCCCAAGCCTGACAGGTTGATAGCTGCGTTACCTACAGGCTTCTGCACAGCGGGGCTGGTTTTCCCAGCTGAGTTGTTTGTAATCAGAGTCAAGTTTAACCTAAGCATGAGACCTTCAAGCAAAATCGGTGTTTTTCATAATGTCCAGTATTTCCACATTCCTTTTTTTCTAGTTCTTTAAGGCTGAGGTGGTGTATACCTTTTATTAAAGCAGAGGAAAACTAGATCAGTCCCATGGTGCTGTTCTCAGAGTTACCGGCATGGGATTGTCTGTTGTGCCCACTGAGCCACTGGTGAATGCTGTCAGGCAGGGAGCAGTCAAGAACTGAGCAATAGAAGGGGGGGAATTTTCTTCTCATTCTCTAGAGCACTCAGCCAGGGCTGGGGGTGGGGGGCATTGCGGCCCCCAGGGGACACTGGGCCGTGTCTGCAGACGTTTTGGGCGTCACAGCTGCTGGGCGTGGAGCTTGTTCCTTGGCTCCTGGCATCTGGTGGGTGGAGGCCAGCGGTGCCGCTTAGCATCCTACAGTGCCCAGGACGGCCCCCTAGCAAAGAAGTCGCTGGCCCCGCATGTCAGTACTGTCTGATATAGTAGCTAGCAGTCGCACGTGGCCATAGCGATATAAGTTAATGAGAATGAAAGGAAACCCGTTGCTCAGTTGCGGCCTCTGGGGCTAGTGGCTACCACCCTGGACAGCCCAGATTATGGCTGTTTTCATCATCATGGAAAGTTCTGCTAGATCTCCCCGCTGTAGAGTCTTGAACTTTTTTTTTTTTTTCTTTAAAACCCTTAAGATAACTTGGCAGAGAGGAAACAGTACTGATAGCGTCCTGGGTCTCCATGCATGGCATGGCCAAATGCAGCTGCACCTGCGGGCCGGCACTGCTGTGCATTGTTCAGAACGCAGGTGTCACTTGGAGATCCTTTCTGTTGGCAGTGTTGTTCAGCCCTGAAAGGGAGAAGCGATGAACTACTTCGTGTGTTGGTACCGCTGTAGGTAAGGTGACCGGGCCCCTCGGTTCTCGGGAGCTGGTTTGGGCACAGCGGGCTCCATGGCTTTGCGGAGAAACAGGGCCACGTGTTTGCTCAGTGCTCACGACATCTGTAGACTTCAGGAGGTGGGGAGTGGTTTTCATTTTTTCTTGTCCCGAGCGAGTGTGGGTTTTCTCATCCTGTCTTTTGTGTGAGAGGGATTTCAACCACCAGTGGCAGTACTTGTTGACGATACTGAGTGCCGGTGTCTTCAGGCATCCACTCTGTTCGCATCCAGTGTGTCATTTGGGACAGCGAAGGTTGTCTCGAAGGTTGTCTCGTCCCTTGCTGTGCCAGCCCTCGTAGAGCGCCCAATTCCGGTCAGCGTGCAGAGCTAACTCGGTATGTGTCCCCTCAGGGAGCACAGTGCAGCAGACGGTAGCCACGCCACCCGCGAAGTTCCTACCGAGGAAGTGGCTCATAATGGACTGAGTCTGGTGTCCCTGTCCCCAGAGCGGGTGTTACCGGTTAGCGTGGGCCTCAGAGAGTGGCATGCCCTTGGCATACACTGCGAACCTGAGGCCGGCGCTCCACACGGGTGCTGGCCGGCTCCGTATCCACCATCAACCACCAACGGGCAGCGAGTGCAACACACCGGCCAAGGCCTCCCAAGCTGCCTGGCGTTTGGGCGCAGCTCAGAGACTCTTTTCTTGTCTGCACATGTGCTGACTGATTTCTTGAGCACTACCCGCCCCCCTCATCTCCCTCCGCGTTCATCTCTCCCTCCCTCCAGTTACCTCTGCTGGGGAACCAGCCAGGGTGCAGAGCAGCTCCTGTGTCCCTGAGACACGCCTTCCCGAATTCAGCAGGCGGGTCCAGAGCCCTCCCTTGTGCCAGGCCGCGGCAGGGATGCAGCGAGGAAGAAAGTGCAGCCTTCCCACCCTGTGGGGAATTTCAGAGTAGTCATTCGCTCCGAATAAAAATGCATCAACTCCTGTCCTAAAACCAGGAAGCTTACTATTAAAAAACATCTAAAATTTTGAGGGTTTTGCTGGTTTACAACAACATGGAGACAATGCTCAGCAGCATGGGTGAGTGGAAATGAGAGATTTCATTGCTCCCAGCAGTGTTCCCAGGAGATTTCCTGGAGCCGGTTTCTGGGTTTGGGAGCGTGTGTGAGCATAGAGCTGGGGGGCTGCTTCGGGGTCGTTCGGACAGTCTTGTGGTCACCTCGGGCATCTCGTGGCTGGAGAATCTCCTTGTGGGAGTTGTGGTTTATCAGACCCAGGGTGGCATGTGGGCTGAGGGCTCCCTCGGGACTGGGTGTGTGAGCACAGCGGGTTGGACTGCTTGCTGTCGGGGGCTGGGCCCCTGTGGGCGGCGGGCCGCTCACCTGGACGGAGCCCGCGCTCTGGGAGGAGCCGCTGCATGGAGAGGGGGCCGGGCCTGGCACAGCCCGCATCCTCCATCCCTCCTGGTCCGGCTTACCATGAGGAGCGGATGCGGTCTGGCTGCGGTAAGGTCTTGCCCACTGTGTTTTGTCTTCACTTCTTAAATGTGAAAGTCTGCCCGGCTTTCAAGAGGAGAGATAATTTCTGCTTAGAAATGACCAGAAAGAGATGCTTTGTTGGAAAGTATAGGACAACCTGCGGAGGATTTGTTTTTGTTTTTACCTCTTGTCTTCCTTCGCTGGAAATGAAGTTTCCCCACGAATCGGGGCCGGGGGAGATGCAAATACAGGCTGACTTTAAGTCCCTAACAGGTGTTGAGGGTCTCTACGCATGGAATGCAAGGAATGGAATGAAGAGGGGTTCTTCTTTGTGTGTCCTTGCTTCGATAAGATGCCAGAATTTTCCTTCGGAAGTTCAGCATGTCTCAGCAGTGTTATCCACAGAGTGACAGCCTTTTGAAATTTATTCACTAAGGAGGCATGACAGGGACTATATATGACCACCTAGATTAATAAACAAATACCTCTGCTCTCAATGGTTTCTGCTGGAGGAGAGAAGAAAATAAAGTTATTTCATTGTAGCCTGCGTGCCCCACCCTTAGGAACAAGGAAAGAACCGTGATGTGTTGTGCCATGCCCCTTGCGCACCATAAGATTACGTCCGTTCGGATCATAGAAATGGTTTTACGGTGAGTTAGGAACAAGTCGGGGTTTTGGCTGTATGATTTTGGCCTGTCTTTTGCCTTCCTTCCTGGCTACCAGCAGATGGCTCTCTTTCTCCAATTTGTCCTTCAAGGGTATTTGAAATGGATTTGTGTCCCAGCGGCCCTGGTCCGAGGGATCCCCCGGCACCAGCCGGCTTTCGGGTGGCCCCTGACGAAGCCCCATTGCCTCGACCAGGCCGTTCCTTTCCGTTTTCTCTTCCCTGTGGCTGCTCGAGGTGCCTCCCCCGCTTTCACCGACACACTTTTTTTTTTTTTAAAAAAAGGACGCCTGCATGAGTCATTTCCAAGGTAGCACGGGAGCAGCGTGTCCCATGTTTGCTGCTGGTTTCTTATCTGTCTGGTATGAAATGCCGCGTGGAGGGCAGCTCGAAGTGTGGGGCAGTGGAAGGCAGGTGGGGTGAGACGCAGGGCGCACGAGGGTCCAAGGACGCTTCCAACCGCGACCAGGAGCGGGCGGCGCTCAGCATCTGCTCAGAACACGGCTGCTTTTTCTAAAGGAGTCCTCCGGCCACCGCGAGGACCACGCAGGCACCCAGCTGTGCAAGATGCTGGCTGACGCACCGACGCTAATTCTGTGACACACGCCTGTCTGTCGCAGGGCTCCCTTGCAAAAGAAAATCTCACTGAGCAGGCTTCTTACCGTTGGCTCTGCCATTGACCTAAAAACAAATGAGCATCACACTGCCCTTCCATCTGTCAGTAAGCCCACGGATGTGCCTTCAGGCGTGCAGGTGACCGTTGGAAAACGGAAAAACACCTACATGCCCAGGAAGCTTAGGAGATCAAGGTAGGGGTGGCAGGCACTCCTCAACCTGGTCTCCCCATCCTGGGACGTGTGACCATGGAGGCTTCTCCCCTGGGTCCCCTGCAGGCCTTTGAGTCAGGCTTCCCCGGCTGTAAGGGGATGCGGAAACCAGCCGATTTCTCATCCAATTTCTAATTCTGGTCTGTGCCTGGGCGTACAGCGTGTCTTTAGCAGACGGCCCTTCTCTTCTCGTTGCAGAATCGAGCGGGTGATGGACAACAACACCACGGTGAAGATGGTGCCCATCAAGATCGTGCACTCGGAAAGCCAGCCCGAGAAGGAGAGCCGCCAGGGCCTGGCCCGCGTCCCGGAGCCACCCGTGCTGCCCAGTGGGCTCGAGCGGGACCAGATCAAGACGCTTAGCACGTCCGAGCAGTCCTACTCCCGCTTCTGCCTGTACAGCCGCCAGGGCGCCGAGCCCCAGCCCCCTGGCACGCCGGTGCCCACGGCCAAGGACAGCCGGGCCTCCACGCCCACGCTCAGCTACGTGAAGGCCAAAGGGAGGACTGCCGAAGACCTCAAGTCGGAGGAGCTGGCCCGCGAGATCGCGGGCAAGGATAAGTCCCTGGCGGATATCCTGGACCCCAGTGTGAAGATCAAAACCACCATGGACCTTATGGAGGGCATCTTCCCCAAAGACGAGCAGCTCTTGGAAGCAGCTCAGCAGCGGAGGAAGCCGCTCCCCAAGATCCCCTCCCCCAGAACCACGGACGAGAAGTGAGTAGACGCTGCCCCGGGTTCTGCCCCCTGGCTGGGTGTGGGTTTCCCCGGTGCCTCTTAGGCTTACAAGGGCGAGGGAGTGTATCTGTTTGTCTGTTTTTGTGACTCCTCTTTGGGGACAGATTTCCATAAGTGCTTATTAGCACTCCGGGGCTCTTTTGTCACCCTCCCGAAATTAAAAGCCCATTCTGGGGATGATGACGTCAGGTCCTGGCGAAGATGTGAAAATACACGTTTCCGGAGGTGCCCACGGGGCGGCTTCTCACGAGGCGGTGGTTCTCAGCTGAAGGCTGTTGTCTCCCGCCACGGGACAGTTGGCAATGTCGGGATACACTTCCGGTTGTCCCCACTGGGAGAGGTGCCCCCGGCATCTAGTGGGTGGCGACAAGGGATGCTGCTTGCTGCTCTACAATGCACGGGACCACTCCCCATCAAAGAATGGTCCGGCCCCAAGTGTCACTAGTACGGAAGTTGAGAAACTTGTCACAAGAGGAGTGAAAGTTGAGTCGACTTCTTAGTAGACGTGTTTTTGAAAGAGGCTTTCTGTTGTTGCTTATTTAACTGAGGGAGTGAACTTGCTGCAGTAGGTTTTGTAAAGAGCGCTTTCCAGCCCCTGTCCTTTAGTCCACCTGCCCACAAAGGTGAATCTGCTCACATCTCTCCTGTTTCTGTACACGGTGTCCATAAGCATCGTTGACTGACAGTAGGCGGCAGTACCAGGCAGATAGGAAGTCGTGCCGTAGCGAGAGGCGGCAAATGCGGCTGCCGGTAGAAAGGTGCCCGGTGACCTTGGGGCGTGCGGCCACGCCTACGGATAGCGGCAGACCTCTCCACATAGGCCTCAGGCTCCCAGCGGGTACCATCTGCACGCTCCTGCCTCCGGGGCGGGGCTTTGAGCACCATTTGGCGGGGGGTGTTTTACTTCTGACCTCACAACCTACTCCTTCCCCACTCTTGCTGTCTCATCTCTCTAGCTGGTGCCTCTCTGTCAGCACCACCATTTGCCGGTCACAGCCCAGGCTGTGGGACTCGCGGGCACGTCTGTGTGTGTGCTCAGAGCTAACGGGTGTTCTGACGTCTTGTTACCTAGGAAGGAGGAGCTGAGTGTGCCGGCGGCCGTGTCCCTGGCCACCAACTCCACCTACTACAGCACATCGGCCCCCAAGGCGGAGCTGCTGATTAAGATGAAAGACCTGCAGGACCAGCAAGAAGCTGGACCCGAAGAGGATTCAGGGAGCGACGCTGACCACGACCTGTCGGTGAAGAAGGTAGGGAAGCCGCAGTTCCAAGTGAGAACCGCGCCGGCAGGCCGGCCGGGGGCGGCGCCCGCCTCCACCCCGACCCTGGGCCCTGCGCCAAGCGCCATTGGTGTCGGGCCTCCATGTGGGACGCTGACATTTGGGCCTGTGTATTAAGCCCTTTGTGGGTGAGTCTTCTGTTCTAAAATTGGGCCCCTCTGCCAGGGTCTCTTTGCCATCTCTTTGTAATGAGATCCAGTGTCAAATGAGCTAGGTGGCCACCAGTCTCTCTCATTTTAAGGTCAACTGATATGTCTCTTCTACCCCAGTTAAATCCAGAGGACTTAATTGTATGACTTTCCGCAAGGCACATGTCCTCTTTGACTATCCATTTCAAATATCTGTAATCCAATGATGTTAATTAAATTCAACAGTATATTGTGAAGTGCGTTGTTAACCGAAAAGCATCATTTGTTCAACTCCAAAAACTCACCCAGGCACTTGGGGATACAGCAGTAGACAAAACAGACGGGAGTCAGTCCTTATTTCCCTGAAGGCACTTTGTGTGCTCACAGAGGAGATGGACAGCCAACATAAAAACAAATATAAAAAAACAAACAGGGCCCCGTGGGCCAACCCCTGCCCCCCACCTGCTCTTGTAAATAAAGTTTTACTGCGACACGGCCACATTCATTTATTTACATATGGCCTGTGGTAGCTTTCACACTACACCAGCAGTGTTGGGTAGTTGCAACAGTGGCTGTGTGGCCCCTGAAGTCTAAAATATTTACTGTTTGGCCGTTTATAGAAAAAGTTTGCCAACCCTTAATGGAATAGGTCGGGTGGTCAGAAAACGAAAACAGCGTGAAGGAATAGAGAGAGGTAAAGGAGTATGATTGTAGAGAAGGCTCTGATGAGCTGATGATGAACAGAGACCTGGAGTGATGTGAGGGAATGTCTGGTTGAGGGGCTGGGGGAGTGGGGTTTGGGCAGCAAGTGCAAAGGCCCTGGGGTGGGAGTTTTGTGACATGTTGGGAAAGCAGCAGAGACCAATGGCTGGAGCTGTGTGGACAAGGAAGGGGGAGGATTAGAGAGGAGGTCAGAGGTGAAATAGCATGTAACCATGAGGTCACGGTAGGGACCAAAATGATTGCTATCAGTGCCGATGTCTTCACTACCGTACGAGCTTCAAATCTTCATGGCATGTCAACAGGCCAGACTTGTGACATCTAGGTGTGATTACTTGTTTCTTTTTTTGGGAAGGACTTAGCATAAAGGGAGAAAAGAATTGCCCAAGGCAGTCAGTTTCAGACGATAGCATGTGCTGTTGGTTTATTCCAGGGGCTTTGAGCATGTGTACTCAGCACCAGGAGAAAGAGAGGAGGGAACCAGCATTTGGTGCATTTTTCCGTACACTTAGCATCTTGGAAGGGGCTTTCATAAAAAGTACCAATTTGTTTTGACAAGACCCTTGCAAAGGATGATGTTTAATACCTCCTCGTATTGTTAGTTGTTAAAAAATGCCATTGATTGGTTTCAAATATGACAAGCCCGTTCCAGAAGAAATACCCTGATCCTTGTGTAAAAGAAAATGACTTTCAATTTAGGAAGTGACAGCCTTGGTCCTGGGATTTGAGAGGCCCTGTGTCTGGCACAGGGTACCATTTGCTTTCTTCTGGTTGTGTTTTCCACGTTCTTTGCCGCGGTCCAGCCTCGGCAGTGCAGGGATAACCCGAAGGGAGGACAGAGTCGGCGATTAAAGAAGATCCACTCACACCAGAGTCAGATGAGATGCTTGCCTTTTTTTTTTTATTGCCATGCAAAATAGCCCTTTTTATATTTTGTTTAACTCTTATTACACCATTGATTTTTCAACAAATTCTCATGGTTACATTAATGATTATCTAATCATATAACACAATATTATGAATGCTTTCTTTTTTCAGCCTTCTCATAACAATGGTTGCTCAATGTCCCCCTGCGGTTTTCTTTTCTCAAAACGTCTGGCAGAACTTTCGTTCTTTGTTTCAGGTCTTGTGGTTACAGTGAGCTAATACAATCTTAAAACACACAGACTGTTCCGTCCTTGAGCATTCAAAGGGCCTAACTATTTTCCTGGTGTAGTTCTAGATTCTTATCTAATAAAAAATTACCACTAGTTCACATAAAACTTTCTATATTCTAGCAAGGCATAAGCAATTTCTATCAAGTAACTTCTTTTATGCATAAATCTTAGGTTGCTTAGGAGGACATTCAACTTTTATATATATGTTGCTTTCATGCAAAACATACTGGCAAAATATAAGTTGCCCTTTCCAAGCATTAATATCCATCTTCTCTTTCAATGTGGGCTGTTTCAATCTAAACATTCCCATGCTTGATCCTCTTTCCCATCGTGGAGGACGGGGAGTAGGTAATGGTGGGGGAGTTAAGGGGCCTTTTTGTCCCCCTGATGCTTCATCCCAAGGGGTTTTACTAAATTTCCATCGGGAATTACCATCTCCCAGGGACTCTACATGCCTTCCCCTAGGTTTTAATCCTCCGTCACCACATGCGAACAAACAAAGTACACAGATCAAATAAATGTCAAACCCTTTAGTAATATTCATTATAATTCTATAAAGGCTGAGCTTCATCCGTAGACAACAGCTGTGCTGGTTCCCTTGGCTGTGCTCAAGGGATACTTGTCACATCCGGATGGCTCTCAGCAGTTCTTAAAAATAATGAATTTAAAAAAACAAAGTATTGGGCTTCCCTGGTGGCGCAGTGCTTGAGAGTCCGCCTGCCGATGCAGGAGACGCGGGTTCGTGCCCCGTTTCGGGAAGATCCCACATGCCGCGGAGCGGCTGGGCCCGTGAGCCATGGCCACTGAGCCTGCGCGTCCGGAGCCTGTGCTCCGCAAATGGGAGAGGCCACAACAGTGAGAGGCCCGCATAACGCAAGGAAAAAAAAAAACAAAAAAAAAACAAAAAACAAAGTATTGTTATTTCTCATACACCTAGAAAAAATACCCAGTTTGGACAGTTTTAATTCCGTCCACACCCTAGATGCAAAGAACTGTGTTCTTTGCAGTATGCCTTTGTCTCTCACGATATACTGAATTTGGGAAGCAGCAGCCTTGGTCCCGCTCCTTTCATCTGCCTGGTGCCTCTTC